ACCTCCCACACTCCATTTGTTTTGATTTTTCACCAAGCATTCATATATCGCTTTTTTTTTATTATTTATTCATATTTCAAGAACAAAACAGTGTGTATATGTAGATAACGCAGAGAATGAGCAATTGTCAAGTATTGTTTGATTCTGGGTCCTTCATAAGCAGCGAGAAAATACCTAATAATTTCTACTTCAACTCGAATGTACCACAAACAATCAATGGATGTTTAAGTAAATAAAGAATAATAATAATATCTTTATTTCTACAAGTATATGTACAAGATATACAGCCATAGTTAACATCAGTGACATACTACTGTATAGAGAGCCGCTTGTTATGCTGTTCATTGCGGGCAAATTAGGTCAATTTTGTCCCCAGGATGCGATCCACACCAGTCCACTAACACCCAGGTACCTATTTTATACTGATGGGTGAACATAGACATCCGGTGTAAGGAAACACGCTCAATGTTTTCACCCTTTGCTGGGAATCGAACCCGGACACTCAGTGTGGAAAATACTGTATATATTTTCCAGAAATTCAGTATTTATATGTAAATAGATGGCCATACTGTATTTAATAATATTTGTCATAGAAAACGGAAAGCCTGCGTCTGCGCAGACGACACTCGCCATCTTGGTTTTGAATTTTGTACAAACGTTGGTGTAATGGGAAGAATTTTTCGTGCTCTAGAGGTTAAAATTGTGTTGACACCTCTCAAATAGGAGGCGAAATTGGTGGATGTGCATTCCTGCATAACTTGAGATATCAGACGACTGGACAAGACAGCTCCAGGAACCTCAGATAAGCTCTCTAGATTTGTGTGTAATTCTGGCCAGCATTATTTTCATAGATTTAGTTAGAGTGAGGTTTTCTGAGTATGATATACATTAATCTCCAGTCAAATTAGTGAGTGATATTAAGATATATTCTCCTTCTGTTGTGTAAATGTGTATATATGTGTATCTATAATCATTTATTATTAATATACAGTCCACAAATTTATATATTTACCAGCATTCCTGGTGATACAAATCATTTATGATTAATAGGTCCAGAGCAACTTGTGGATATGACAGTGGTAGGTATCGAAGGGGGACATTTTTTGCGACCTAGGTGTCCCAAATTCCTACTTGTCTATGTAACTCTGATAAATAATAATTATCTTTGTTATCATTTTCTGTTATGTACATAATGAGTTACATTCAGATAAATGCAATTTTCCACAGAGTGTGAAGCGAGAGCTTTTGTCTGGTGGCAAGTAGGTACCTGAGTGACTAGCACTCAGGTGCCTACTTACTGCTAGGTGAACAGTGACAGCAGGTGTAAGGTGACTAACACCCATGTACCTACTTACTGCTAAGTGAACAATGACAGCAGGTGTAAGGAAATATACCCAACGTTTCCACCCGTACCGGGGATCGAACCATGTACACTCAGTGTGTGAAGCGAGAGCATTGCCTCACAAGCCACGGGACATTATCTGCCAATGTATTCAAATCTATTGTCAAAACGCACCTCATCTCCCTAACGTAATCGAAACAGCAGTAAATTATGTCAGACAAAACCAGCCTTCCATAAATTTCCTTAGAAAATATTTAACACATCTTGTCCCATTGTATTTAATTACTCCACAAAATTGTAGATTATTGGTTCGATCCCTGGTATGGAGGGAACACTGGGACGTGTGTCCTTAATACACCTACTGTCCCTGTCGTCGCGACCTAGCTGCCAGGGAGTGTGGACGTGCCTCATACCTCTCTGCTGATAGTCTAGCAAGCTATCCAGTGTCGTCATGGTATTCAGCGTGAGGAGGCGGGTGAATACCGTTGGTATACAGCTTGTTCGGGGGGCGATTACGCCTGAGAATGAACAAGTTTTGCTACCTAAGATTATCCGTGACACTTATGGTATTGCGGACAAGGATTTGTACGGTGTGGCATTAAATGGCGCATACCGGATATTTGTAAAACTACTCTACGAGCCAGTGTACGAGCAGCTGGTTGAGCAATTCCAAGATCTCTGCGTAGATGTGTCCCCTGACGTGCATGTGCGTATGGTGGGTGTCTCTCGACAATATACGTGGGTGAAACTGCGCAATGTGCCCTTCGAGGCCGATGCAACGGATCTCCGCAGTGTTTTCAGAAGATACGGAGTGATACACATGGCTAAACAAGGCATGCGGGTGGCTGGGGCGTATGTTGGTCTCCCAGACGGTTCGTTCACCCTTAAGATGTCTCTACGCCAGGCCATACCATCGTATGTGTACCTTGATGACTTCCGCACACAGGTCATGGTGTCTTATGCTGGTCAACGACGGACGTGTCGCCTCTGCGGTGACTATGATCATATGGCAACGGAGTGTGGGCAGCGCGGGCAGGCCAGAAAGCCAGCCGGTGGATCAACGAATGACGATGGGCAGGAGGCTCCCATACGTGGACGAAAAGAGATGGTGGCCACGGTCGGCTTTGGAGTGAGGAGATTGAGGAGCCAGTGGTGGTGTCGAATCTGGAGTTGTCGTCTCTCGAGTCACCTGCATCGCCGGTGGTACAGCAGGCTTCCGGGGAAGACCAGGTGACGGTGGAAGTGGAGGACTTGGATGCGACAATAGCGTCTGTTTTGCATACCATGTTCTCATCTACGGATGTGGTCTCCCCGGCTGTGACGACGGCCAGTTCGGAGATCGTGTCTGTGGCGGTCGAGCAGCAGCAGGAGGAGGTTGTTGGTGCTGGTGGGGCTGGCGGGGACGTGGTGACCCCTCGTCAGAAGGCAGAGACGAAGGTAGTGGTGGAGGTACATCGTGTGGACGATCCGGTCACAAACATGGAGGAGGATGCTGGGACGAGGAAGAGGGCTGCAGCAATGTCGGACTCTGACGACGTCCTGACGCCGGCTCAACGAACAGGGAAGAAAGCATCGGTAGATGGGGGGGGGCGGTGTGCTAGTGGAGGTGAGCAGCGACAGCAGGTGGTGCCAGGTGGCACGGGTGTCGTGCGTGGAGAGCATGGCAAACGTGGCCCCCAGGGCCCAAGTGGGCATGCAAAAGTACAAGTGGGGCAGCGAGGGAGGAAACCTTAGCCAGGTGTGAGGGGGGGCATGTGCCCAGTGTTAGGATGAAAGTGGCTTGATATGTGCTGTTCAGATGTGTCTGCAAATTGTGGAATGTGAGTAGTGTTAGGTTCTGGTTAGAGGTGTTGCTGCCTGCGCCTGTGTGCGTCTAAGGTACGCTGGTGCGGTTGAGGTGGCGTATGCTGCTGCTGTGTGTATGAATCTTGGACTATATGTTGAATGATAGTGGGTGGGGTCTGTATGGTGGAGGTTTGAGGAGCATCCTTATGTTATATGTCAAGTATTGGGTATGTATTTTATACCTATGCATACACAATGTATAAAAACACTGGTAGTGTTACTTGTGCAGGACCTGCTGTTATGAGGACTCTTGTATGCACAAGGACAGACCCTTTGTAATTACTTGAGGTGTGTGCTAGGCACAGTATTTATGTGTTACTTATGTCATGGTTATATTTTATGATTTTGAGACTAAGTTTATTCTTATGGTTTTGTAGTAATTTTGTATGTCTGTGATTTTTCTATATCACCATTGTTGTGTAATACATATTGTTATGTAACTGAACCATTAGGACAATTACATAAATTAATGTTTTGATCATTGCTGTGTGACTTTAGATTAGGCAACATTCATTGTTTATAATATGTTAGGTTGTAAATAGTGGGGTGGTTGGATAACCACGGGGGATGGGGGTAATATGTCTGTATAATATGTTCAGTGCAATGAATTGCATGGTCTGTAGTCGATTATTAAGTACCATTTCGAGGGATGTGTATATAAAAGTGTTGTTCATATCATGTAATTCTGTTGAGTAGCTCCAACAGGTTTGGGTTAAGTGATAGGATGAGGGAGCAGGGAGAGGGGGGGGTGTACCCACACGGAGTTGTAAGTGTGGTGTGTAATATTAGCTGTAGGGAGGATTGTGATAATTTATAGACTTGAATGAGTTACATATTATATTTTTGTAATGTCATGTTTTAAATAAAATATATAAAAAAAAAAAAACTGTCCCTGTTCAGTGAGTGTTAGTTACCTTACACCTGCTGTCCCTGTTCACCTAGCAGTAAAGTAGGTACCTGGGTGTTAGTGGACTGGTCCGGGTCGCATCCTGGGACAAAATTGACTTAATTTGCCTGAAATGCTATGCATAACAAGTGGCTTTCTATATAAAAGTATGTCATTGATATCAGCTATGGTCTGTATACCTTGTACATGTAGAAATAAAGACATTATACTATTATTATTATTATTATTATTATTATTATTTGAGGTTAAGTAAGGTTCATCAGGAAACAGGACAAGTGTTCCCTGACGTGGGTCTTGGCGAGATGATGACTCGCCTTTAGAGCGTTTGGTCATCTGACCGAGGCCTTCCGCTGGCTTACCGGTGGCCTGGTGGCTAAAGCTCCCGCTTCACACACGGAGGGCCCGGGTTCGATTCCCGGCGGGTGGAAACATTTCGACACGTTTCCTTACACCTATTGTCCTGTTCACCTAGCAGCAAATAGGTACCTGGGTGTTAGTCGACTGGTGTGGGTCGCATCCTGGGGGACAAGATTAAGGACCCCAATGGAAATAAGTTAGACAGTCCTCGATGACACACTGACTTTCTTGGGTTATCCTGGGTGGCTAACCCTCCGGGGTTAAAAATCCGAACGAAATCTTATCTTATCTTATAGTCATTTATAACCATTGTTATTATTATTTGAGAAGGAATTGTGGATACTACGTAAGCTGTCAGTGAGCCTTACAAACCCAACAAGACATGGAAGAAAAGTATGTTGAAAGTGATCAGAGTATTATTATTATTATTGTTATTATTATTATTGTTATTATTATTGTTATTATTGTTAAAGAGATAAAACAAAATACATTATTATTATTATTATAATCAAGGGGGAAGTGCTATACCCGGAGGATTATACAGCGCCTAGGGGGGGATGTGGAAGGCATTCGGGGAACGAGCACAGATCCAATTCCCTAAATCAAGAGCCCCTCACCAACATCAAGGAACCTTCCTTGAGGGGAAAACAAAATACAGTTATATGAATTTATTACAGTTATCGTACGTAGGATAACCCAACTTTGTAGGTAAGGATTTCTAAACATTTCCATCTGCCCTGCTGTATAGCCCTTGTGGTTTAGCGCTTCTTTTTTATTATAATAAACAATTCAATCTGCCCTCTCCGTAGTAACGTTTATTTTCCATATTACACAGTTTTATTTTATGTCTCTCTTGTCCTATAATGAGACATATGTAGTTACATGGAATCTTTTAAGATAAGATTTTGTTGGGATTTTTAACCCCGGAGGGTTAGCCACCCAGGATAACCCAAGAAAGTTATTGAGGGACTGTCTTATCCCCCAGGATGCGACCCATACCAGTTGACTAACACCCATCTAGTGCTAAACCCGCAGGGATTAGACAGCGCCTATGGGGGGATGGGATAGAAGGCATTCAGGCTCAATTCAGGGAACTGGAACACAGATACAATTCTCTAGATAAAAAGCCTCTCACCAGCATCAAGGAACACCCCTCGACGGGGTATTTCCAGAGGAAATCTTTGGCAATATTTAGTCATAGGGCAGCAGGAGACAGGGCTGTGTGGTGGCACTATATATATATATATATATATATATAATATATATATATATATATATATAATATATATATATAATATATATATTATATATTATATATATATATATATTATATATATATATATATATATATATATATATATATATTATATATATATAATATATATATATATATATATATATATATATATATATATATATATATATATATTATATATATATATATATATATATATATATATATATATATATATATATATATATATATATATATATATATATATATATATATATATATATATATATATAATATATATATATATATATATATATATATTATATATATATATATATATATATATATATATATATATATATATAATATATATATATATATTATATATATATATATATATATATATATATATATATATATTATATATATATAATGGTGAAGCAATGTAAAAAGAGAGCAAATGAGAGTGGGTGAGATGTTATCAACAAATTTGTTGAAAATAAGAAAAAGTTTTGGAGTGAGATTAACAAGTTAAGGAAGCCTAGAGAACAAATGGATTTGTCAGTTAAAAATAGGAGAGGAGAGTTATTAAATGGAGAGTTAGAGGTATTGGGAAGATGGAGGGAATATTTTGAGGAATTGTTAAATGTTGATGAAGATAGGGAAGCTGTGATTTCGTGTATAGGGCAAGGAGGAATAACATCTTGTAGGAGTGAGGAAGAGCCAGTTGTGAGTGTGGGGGAAGTTCGTGAGGCAGTAGGTAAAATGAAAGGGGGTAAGGCAGCTGGGATTGATGGGATAAAGATAGAAATGTTAAAAGCAGGTGGGGATATAGTTTTGGAGTGGTTGGTGCAATTATTTAATAAATGTATGGAAGAGGGTAAGGTACCTAGGGATTGGCAGAAAGCATGCATAGTACTCTTGACTCTATGACCGCGGGTTCAATCCCGGCCGGGGGTATGGTTTGTTAGCATGCATAGTTCCTTTGTATAAAGGCAAGGGGACAAAAGAGAGTGCAAAAATTATAGGGGGATAAGTCTGTTGAGTATACCTGGTAAAGTGTATGGTAGAGTTATTATTGAAAGAATTAAGAGTAAGACGGAGAATAGGATAGCAGATGAACAAGGGGGCTTTAGGAAAGGTAGGGGGTGTGTGGACCAGGTGTTTACAGTGAAACATATAAGTGAACAGTATTTAGATAAGGCTAAAGAGGTCTTTGTGGCATTTATGGATTTGGAAAAGGCGTATGACAGGGTGGATAGGGGGACAATGTGGCAAATGTTGCAGGTGTATGGTGTAGGAGGTAGGTTACTGAAAGCAGTGAAAAGTTTTTACGAGGATAGTGAGGCTCAAGTTAAAGTATGTAGGAAAGAGGGAAATTATTTCCCAGTAAAAGTAGGCCTTAGACAAGGATGTGTGATGTCACCGTGGTTGTTTAATATATTTATAGATGGGGTTGTAAGAGAAGTAAATGCAAGGGTCTTGGCAAGAGGCGTGGAGTTAAAAGATAAAGAATCACACATAAAGTGGGAGTTGTCACAGTTGCTCTTTGCTGATGACACTGTCCTCTTGGGAGATTCTGAAGAGAAGTTGCAGAGATTGGTGGATGAATTTGGTAGGGTGTGCAAAAGAAGAAAATTAAAAGTGAATACAGGAAAGAGTAAGGTTATGAGGATAACAAAAAGATTAGGTGATGAAAGATTGGATATCAGATTGGAGGGAGAGAGTATGGAGGAGGTGAATGTATTCAGATATTTGGGAGTGGACGTGTCAGCGGATGGGTCTATGAAAGATGAGGTGAATCATAGAATTGATGAGGGCAAAAGGGTGAGCGGTGCACTTAGGAGTCTGTGGAGACAAAGAACTTTGTCCTTGGAGGCATGGGTGATGAATGTTGCAGCGAGGAGAAGGCTGGAGGCAGTGGAGATGTCATGTCTGAGGGCAATGTGTGGTGTGAATATAATGCAGAGAATTCGTAGTTTGGAAGTTAGGAGGAGGTGCGGGATTACCAAAACTGTTGTCCAGAGGGCTGAGGAAGGGTTGTTGAGGTGGTTCGGACATGTAAAGAGAATGGAGCAAAACAGAGTGACTTCAAGAGTGTATCAGTCTGTAGTGGAAGGAAGGTGGGGTAGGGGTTCGGCCTAGGAAAGGTTGGAGGGAGGGCTTTAAAGGAGGTTTTGTGTGCGAGGGGCTTGGACTTCCAGCAGGCATGCGTGAGCGTGTTTTGATAGGAGTGAATGGAGACAAATGGTTTTTTAATACTTGACGTGCTGTTGGAGTGTGAGCAAAGTAAAAATTTATGAAGGGGTTCAGGGAAACCGACAGGCCGGACTTGAGTCTTGGAGATGGGAAGTACAGTGCCTGCACTCTGAAGGAGGGGTGTAAATGTTGCAGTTTAAAAACTGTAGTGTAAAGCACCCTTCTGGCAAGACAGTGATGGAGTGAATGATGGTGAAAGTTTTTCTTTTTCGGGCCACCCTGCCTTGGTGGGAATCGGCCAGTGTGATAATAAAATAAATTATATTATATATGTTAGTAGGTTGGTAGCCCAGCAACCCCCCAGGGAAGTACTACCGTCCTGCCAGATGACTGTGAAACAAAAACCTGTAACTGTTTTGCATGATGGTAGGATTGCTGGTTTCTTTTTCTGTCTCATAAACACGCTAAGATAACAGGGATATCTTGCTACTCCTACTTACACTTTGGTCACACTTCACAGGGCACGCACATGCATATATATATATACATACATCTAGGTTTTTCTCCTTTTTTTAAATAGCTCTTGTTCTTTTTTATTTCTTCTTTGTCCATGGGGAAGTGAAAAGAAATCTTTCCTCCGTAAGCCATGCGTGTCGTATGAGGCGACTAAAATGCCGGGAGCAATGGGCTAGTAACCCCTTCTCCTGTATACAATTACTAAAAAAGAGAAGAAGAAAAACTTTATAAAACTGGGTTGCTTAAAAGTGCGTGGATGTAGTGCGGATGACAAGAAAACAGATGATTGCTGATGTTATGAATGAAAGAAGTTTGGGTGTCCTGGCCCTAAGCGAAACCAAAGCTGAAGGGGTAGGAGAGTTTCAGTGGGGGGAAATAAATGGGATTAAATCTGGAGTATCTGAGGAGTTAGAGCAAAGGAAGGGGTAGCAGTAATGTTAAATGATCAGTTATGGAAGGAGAAAAGAGAATATGAATGTGTAAATTCAAGAATTATGTGGATTAAAGTAAAGGTTGGATGCGAGAAGTGGGTCATAATAAGCGTTTTATGCACCTGGAGAAGAGAGGAATGCAGAGGAGAGAGAGAGATTTTGGGAGATGTTAAGTGAATGTATAGGAGCCTTTGAACAAGTGAGAGAGTAAATTGTGGTAGGGGACTTGAATGCTAAAGTAGGAGAAAAATTTTAGAGAGGGTGTGGTAGGTAAGTTTGGGGTGCCAGGTGTAAATGATAATGGGAAGCCCTTTTTATTGAACTTTGTATGAAAGGGGTTTAGTTATAGGTAATACATATTTTAAGAAAAAGAGGATAAATAAGTATACACGATATGATGTAGGGCGAAATGACAGTAGTTTGTTGGATTATGTATTGGTAGATAAAAGACTGTTGAGTAGACTTCAGGATGTTTCATGTTTATAGAGGGGCACAGATATATCAGAAACACTTTCTAGTTGTAGCTACAAATGAGAGTAAAAGGTTAGATGGGATACAAGGAGAATAGAAGAAACAGGGAAGAGAGAGGTGAAGGTTTATAAACTAAAAAAAGGAGGCAGTTAGGGTAAGATATAAACAGCTATTGGAGGATAGATGGGCTAATGAGAGCATAGGCAATGGGTCGAAGAGGTATGGGGTAGGTTTAAAAATGTAGTGTTAGAGTGTTCAGCAGAAGTTTTGTGGTTACAGGAAAGTGGGTGCAGGAGGGAAGAGGAGCGATTGGTGGAATGATGATGTAAAGAGAGTAGTAAGGGAGAAAAAGTTAGCATATGAGAAGTTTTTACAAAGTAGAAGTGATGCAAGGAGGGAAGAGTATATGGAGAAAAAGAGAGAAGTTAAGAGAGTGGTGAAGCAATGTAAAAAGAGAGCAAATGAGAGAGTGGGTGAGATGTTATCAACAAATTTTGTTGAAAAATAAGAAAAAGTTTTGGAGTGAGATTAACAAGTTAAGAAAGCCTAGAGAACAAATGGATTTGTCAGTTAAAAATAGGAGAGAGAGTTATTAAATGGAGAGTTAGAGGTATTGGGAAGATGGAAGGAATATTTTGAGGAATTGTTAAATGTTGATGAAGATAGGGAAGCTGTGATTTCGTGTATAGGGCAAGGAGGAATAACATCTTGTAGGAGTGAGGAAGAGCCAGTTGTGAGTGTGGGGGAAGTTCGTGAGGCAGTAGGTAAAATGAAAGGGGGTAAGGCAGCCGGGATTGATGGGATAAAGATAGAAATGTTAAAAGCAGGTGGGGATATAGTTTTGGAGTGGTTGGTGCAATTATTTAATAAATGTATGGAAGAGGGTAAGGTACCTAGGGATTGGCAGAGAGCATGCATAGTTCCTTTGTATAAAGGCAAAGGGGATAAAAGAGAGTGCAAAAATTATAGGGGGATAAGTCTGTTGAGTGTACCTGGTAAAGTGTATGGTAGAGTTATAATTGAAAGAATTAAGAGTAAGACGGAGAATAGGATAGCAGATGAACAAGGAGGCTTTAGGAAAGGTAGGGGTGTGGTGGACCAGGTGTTTACAGTGAAACATATAAGTGAACAGTATTTAGATAAGGCTAAAGAGGTCTTTGTGGCATTTATGGATTTGGGAAAAGGCATATGACAGGGTGGATAGGGGGGCAATGTGGCAGATGTTGCAAGTGTATGGTAGGAGGTAGGTTACTGAAAGCAGTTGAAGAGTTTTTACGAGGATAGTGAGGCTCAAGTTAGAGTATGTAGGAAAGAGGAAATTTTTTCCCAGTAAAAGTAGGCCTTAGACAAGGATGTGTGATGTCACCGTGGTTGTTTAATAATTTATAGATGGGGTTGTAAGAGAAGTAAATGCGAGGGTCTTGGCAAGAGGCGTGGAGTTAAAAGATAAAGAATCACACACAAAGTGGGAGTTGTCACAGCTGCTCTTTGCTGATGACACTGTGCTCTTGGGAGATTCTGAAGTGAAGTTGCAGAGATTGGTGGATGAATTTGGTAGGGTGTGCAAAAGAAGAAAATTAAAGGTGAATACAGGAAAGAGTAAGGTTATGAGGATAACAAAAAGATTAGGTGATGAAAGATTGAATATCAGATTGGAGGGAGAGAGTATGGAGGAGGTGAACATATTCAGATATTTGGGAGTGGACGTGTCAGCGGATGGGTCTATGAAAGATGAGGTGAATCATAGAATTGATGAGGGAAAAAGAGTGAGTGGTGCACTTAGGAGTCTGTGGAGACAAAGAACTTTGTCCTTGGAGGCAAAGAGGGGAATGTATGAGAGTATAGTTTTACCAACGCTCTTATATGGGTGTGAAGTGTGGGTGATGAATGTTGCAGGAGGAGAAGGCTGGAGGCAGTGGAGATGTCATGTCTGAGGGCAATGTGTGGTGTGAATATAATGCAGAGAATTCGTAGTTTGGAAGTTAGGAGGAGGTGCGGGATTACCAAAACTGTTGTCCAGAGGGCTGAGGAAGGGTTGTTGAGGTGGTTCGGACATGTAGAGAGAATGGAGCGAAAACAGAATGACTTCAAGAGTGTATCAGTCTGTAGTGGAAGGAAGGCGGGGTAGGGGTCGGCCTAGGAAGGGTTGGGGGAGGGGGTAAAGGAGGTTTTGTGTGCGAGGGGCTTGGACTTCCAGCAGGCATGCGTGAGCGGTTTGATAGGAGTGAATGGAGACAAATGGTTTTTAATACTTGACGTGCTGTTGGAGTGTGAGCAAAGTAACATTTATGAAGGGATTCAGGGAAACCGCAGGCCGGACTTGAGTCCTGGAGATGGGAAGTACAGTGCCTGCACTCTGAAGGAGGGTGTTAATGTTGCAGTTTAAAAACTGTAGTGTAAAGCACCTTCTGGCAAGACAGTGATGGAGTGAATGATGGTGAAAGTTTTTCTTTTTCGGGCCACCCTGCCTTGGTGGGAATCGGCCGGTGTGATAATAAAAAAAAATAAAAAAAATATATATTAATAATATATATATATATATATATATATATATATATATATATATATATATATATATATATATAATATATCATATATATAATATATATATATATATATATATATATATAATATATATATATATATATATATATACACATACATACATACAGTGGTCCTCAATAATCGTCCGTAATCCATTCCTGAAGTGGGACTATTATTGAAATGGACAATTTACGAATCAATTTTCCCCATAAGAAATTAATGTAAATTCAATTAATCCGTTCCTGACACCCAGAAGTATTAAAACAAAAAATTTTTTACATGAAATATAGATGTAGTACATAAACAATACAGTGGCATATGATGAATTAAACATTAACAGAATAACACTTACCTTTATTGGCGATTTTCTTTGTGTATGGAAAGGACTGGAGAAGGAGACTGATTGGTTTGAATTACTTTTTTGGAAGGGGAAATCCCCTTCCATCAACACCTTGGGTACCAATTGCTTTTCTGGGGTTACTTCTCTTCTCTGTTTTTTAAATTTGCACTAGGACCACCTTGAGAGTCACTGGAGTCCTGTCTCGCAAAAAAACTGTCCAGAAAGCTCTGTTTCTGGCGTCTAAAACTTCCCTAAAATGGGTCAAGACTCTGTCACTGTACAAGTTGCCGATATGGCTTGCAACATCCTTCTCGGGGTTTGATGTTTCTCCATAAATCTTTCCATCCTACCCCACATTTCAAAAATCTCCTTAATTTCTGAAAAAGGCACCTTCCTCCATCTCTCTTCCTCCTCCTCTGCAGCAAGATTCAGAGCCGCCATCTGTTGCTGTTCCTGCTGAAGCTCTTGCAGCTCCTCAGTGGTTAGCTCTTTGTTGTGGTCCTCCACCAACTTTTCCCACATCCTCCAAACTCACATTCAACCCCAAGAAGCCCCCAGTGCCAAAATGGATTTAACAACTGACAAGACTCATCAGGGTCAGCCCCAAACCCTTCAAAAATCCCTCTTGTGGACACAATCTGGCCACAATTTCCTCCGGGCAGAGTTCAAAGTCCTGGTAGTCACTCCCTCAACCTTACCTAAAAGGCTTACACAATGGAGAATACTGAAATGTTTTTTCCCAAAAATCTCGTGGGGTCAAGTGAGTGTCTGAGGTCACATTCAAGCACCTTTCAAACTTTGCTTTGGTGTAGAGTTTTCTTTAAGTTTGCAATGACCTGCTGGTCCATGGGTTGGAGGAGAGGAGTTTTATTCGGGGGCAAGAACTTTACTGTGATGAACCCAAACTCCTTCAAATTAGGTCATCCAAGTTTGGAGGATGAGCAGGTGCATTGTCCATTACTAGGAGTTACTATGAGATCCAATTTCTTTTTCCAGGAGGTAATTCTTCACACTAGGGCCAAACACTTCGTTGAACCACTCTACAAAAATTTCCCTCGTGCCCCAATGCCTTACTATTAGATTTCCAAAACACACACAATTTATCTTCATAAATTGTTTTTCCTGAACACTCTGGGATTTTCAAAAATGGTACACTAGAAACGGCTTCACTTTGAAATCCCCACTAGCATTAGCACAGAACATTAGCGTCAGCCTGTCTTTCATAGGCTTGTGTCCTGGCATTGCCTTTTCCTCTTGTGTAATGAAGGTCCTCTTTGGCATTTTCTTTCCAAAACAGGCCTTTTTTCGTCACAATTGAACACTTGTTCAGGTTTCAGTCCTTCACTGTTTATGTACTCCTGGAATTCAGCACATATTTTTCAAGCCGCCTTGTGGTCCGAACTGGCAGCCTCACCATGCCTTACCACACTGGGGTATGCCAGTACGCTTCTTAAATCTCTCAAAACCCTTTGCTAGCCTTAAATTCACTCACATCATCACTATTGCAGGAAATTTTTTTTTAAACCAAATCGTCATGCAACCCTGCCTAGCCTTTTCAACAAAATAGCGACGTCATAAGACTGTCTCCTGCTAATTGTTTTCTTTTTATCCACACCAATAATAACTTCTCAACATCTTCGAGTACTGGTGATCTCATTTTTCAGCATATTTACCCCTTGCAACAACAGCATCCTTGATTTCCTTTTTCTTGGCTATGATGGAAGATATGGTTGTACGGGATTTGTTATACTTCCTGGCCAGTTCGCCCACACGTACGCCACTATCATATTTAAGGAATGATGTTTTTCTTAAATTCAACCCGTATTTTCTCACCTTCTTTACCAAAGGCTTGGCACTAGGAGCTTTTCTTTGGAGCCTTTGGTAGCTTATTTAGCACTTAAAATAACTTGCAAACCTAAAATAAATGAAATATTATGAAATATTTATGGAGCCCTGAGGGGGACCGTCGCTCATTTGTAAACAGTGGCACACTGGCTGGGAAGGAAAGGCTGAGGCGGCTCGGGGCCGCTCAGACCGTGCATACGCGTCTGGGACGAAGGACTATTAGCGAGTTACCGGACCTTTCTGAGCCAATATTTAGACGAAAAACAGGACTATTTCCGAAATGGACGACTTTCAGGCCGGACGATTATTGAGGACCATGTTAATATATATCTATATATATATATATATATATATATATATATATATAATATATATATATATATATATATTTATGTAAGTATAGTATGTATATATATTTATGCAATTATATACTGATGTGCAGGTATGTATATGTAATTGTAAAATATCTTGGATTACAACAATATGTAATATTCTTATTTACAGAAATGGCTGGTTCTAGCATCCTCACAAATCACACATTGGAATGGGTGCAAGAAAAAGGATTGTGCTCACAGCCATCAGTCACTGTGTTAACCAAATTGGGATTCCAGAAGCTCACCAACATTCAGCAGCAGGCAATTCCCAAGTTACTTGCCAAAAAAAACGCTTTCCTTCATGCCCGTACAGGGTCTGGAAAAACATTAGCTTTTCTCATACCCACCGTGGAAAGATTAAGAGCTATGAAATTTAAAGAGTTACATGGTAAGAAAAGAAAAGAAAAAGAGAGAGGTTAAGAGAGTGGTGAAGCAATGTAAAAAGAGAGCAAATGAGAGAGTGGGTGAGATGTTATCAACAAATTTTGTTGAAAATAAGAAAAAGTTTTGGAGTGAGATTAACAAGTTAAGAAAGCCTAGAGAACAAATGGATTTGTCAGTTAAAAATAGGAGAGGGAGTTATTAAATGAGAGTAGAGGTATTGGGAAGATTTGGGGGGAATATTTTGAGGGAAATTTTTAAATGTTGATGAAGATAGGAAGCTGTGATTTCGTGTATAGGGCAAGGAGGAATAACATCTTGTAGGAGGTGAGGAAGAGCCAGTTGTGAGTGTGGGGGAAGTTCGTGAGGCAGTAGGTAAAATGAAAGGGGGTAAGGCAGCCGGGATTGAGGGATAAAGATAGAAATGTTAAAAGCAGGTGGGGATATAGTTTTGGAGTGGTTGGTGCAATTATTTAATAAATGTATGGAAGAGGTAGGTACCCAGGGGTTGGCAAGGAGCATGCATAGTTCCTTTGTATAAAGGCAAAGGGGATAAAAGAGAGTGCAAAAATTATAGGGGGATAAGTTGTTGAGTACCTGGTAAATGTATGGTAGAGTTATTATTGAAAGAATTAAGAGTAAGACGGAGAATAGGATAGCAAATGAACAAGGAGGCTTTAGGAAAGTAGGGGGGGTTTTGGGGCCAGGGGTTTACAGTGAAACTATAAGTGAACAGTATTTAGATAAGGCTAAAGAGGTCTTTGTGGCATTTATGGATTTGGAAAAGGGGTTTTTGACAGGGTGGATAGGGGGGGAATGTGGGAGATGTTGCAAGTGTATGGGGTAGGAGGTAGGTTCTTAGAAAGCAGTGAAGAGTTTTACGAGGATAGTGGCCCCAAGTTAGAGTATGTAGGGAAAAAGTGAAATTTTTCCCAGTAAAAGTAGGGCTTAGACAAGGATGTGTGATGTCACCGTGGTTGTTTTAAAATATTTATAGATGGGGTTGTAAGAGAATAAATGCAGGGTCTTGGCAAGAGGCGTGGAGTTAAAAGAAAAGAATCACACACAAAGTGGGAGTTGTCACAGTGCTCTTTTCTGATGACACTGTGCTCTTGGGAGATTCTGAAGAGAAGTTGCAGAGATTGGTGGATGAATTTGGTAGGGTGTGCAAAAGAAGAAAATTAAAGGGGAATACAGGAAAGAGTAAGGTTATGAGGATAACAAAAAAGATTAGGTGATGAAAATTGAATACAGATTGGAGGGAGAGAGTGTGGAGGAGGTGAATGTATTCAGATATTTGGGAGTGGAAAGTGTCAGCGGATGGGTCTATGAAAGATGAGGTGAATCATAAATTGATGAGGGGAAAAGAGTGAGTGGTGCCCCTTAGGAGTCTGTGGAGACAAAGGACTTTGTCCCTTGAGGCAAAGGGGAATGTATGAGAGTATAGTTTTTACCAACGCTCTTACATGGGTGTGAAGCATGGGTGATGAAAAGTTGCAGCGAGGAGAAGGCTGGAGGCAGTGGAGATGTCCCTGTCTGAGGGCAATGTGTGGTGTGAATATAATGCAGAGAATTCATAGTTTGGAAGTTAGGAGGAGGTGCGGGATTACCAAAACTGTTGTCCAGAGGGCTGGAAGGGTTGTTGAGGTGGTTCGGACTGTAGAGAGAATGGAGCGAAACAGAATGACTTCAAGAGTGTATCAGTCTGTAGTGGAAGGAAGGCGGGTAGGGGTCAGCCTAGGAAAGGTTGGAGAGATTGGGTAAAAGGGGGTTTTGTGTGCGAGGGGCTTTGGACTTCCAGCAGGCATGCGTGAGCATGTTTGATAGGAGTGAATGGAGACAAATGGTTTTTAATACTTGACGTGCTGTTGGAGTGTGAGCAAAGTAACATTTATGAAGGGGTTCAGGGAAACCGGCAGGCCGGACTTGAGTCCTGGAGATGGGAAGTACAGTGCCTGCACTCTGAAGGAGGGGTGTTAATGTTGCAGTTTAAAAACTGTAGTGTAAAGCACCCTTCTGGCAAGACAGTGATGGAGTGAATGATGGTGAAAGTTTTTCTTTTTCGGGCCACCCTGCCTTGGTGGGAATCGGCCAGTGTGATAAAAAAAAAAATGGTAAGATGCCCATAGAATTTAACCTTTATTATAATGGACGTCGATGTAATGGACTTCCAAAATTATGAGCAAAATCCACTGGTTAAATTGTACTTTTAATTCCTTTACTTTCAATATTGATTGCAGTACATGTATGGCTGTAAATTGTGCATATAGTACTATATTAGATATACATTAAGAAGCTTTAGTGAACTTTTTTGCTATTTGTCAACATTATTCTGATCTAATGGACACACTGTCAATCGTCCTATTAGTCCATTATATCAAAGGTTTACTGTATTTTTAATTATACATTAGAAATTTAAGGAAAAGAAGAGTCTTGAAAGGTCACAACATTAACTTTTTTCGCAGGAATTATATCCCAGTATGTATTATTTAAATAAAAGGACAAATGCTATTCAGTATATACTATATTTTTACACAAAATTAATGTTCTGTACCCATGAAACATTATTTTTCATATGACTAACACAGTTTGTAACACATCATGAAAGTCCAGACATACATCTCTTCATTGTATACGTTATATTTGCTGCCTTAGTTAAAGCATACTGTGTAGTACTGGTTGATTCTTTTAGGGTTTTAAAGGGTTCCCCAAATAATTATTATTAGAGTTAGTCCCCGTAAACCGTAAATATTAAGTGGGATAGTCACTGCTCTTTAATATATTATTTCAATGTAGTGCGTTTCTCTACTCATAAAATGTCATTACTTCACAAAAATGGGCCCCCTTGTTACTGAAAAACACCCTTTCCCGTCGGGGAAAAAATTTTAAGCAGGGTGTTTTTTGGATATAAATTTCACACAAAATTCCAACATTTTCACCCAAATATTATTCATATCTCACTTTCATTAAGCCTGAAAAAGTATTTCCTTGATATCTAATACTTCCTCCCACTTGCTTGTTGGATTTCACAGTAACCTGTTTAAGGGTTGATTTTAAACATATACTGTAGTTGTAAAAAGGCATGAATTTGCATGATTGCCAAGAGTTTCGCAATATTTAGAAAATAGACCTGCACACACACTGCTAGTGAAATTACAAATCAACGAAGAGATAAACATGTAGTTAACAGTATTAAAATGTGTTTTTGTAATTGACCTTGTTTGCTACTTATTTATACACTTTGAGTTACGTAATCCAAGTGCATTCTTTTAATAATTATTTTTATATTTTTCCATTGCAGGTGTTGGAGCACTGATAATATCACCTACAAGAGAACTTGCACAACAGATTTCACTTGTCCTTAAACCTCTTGCAGATGTGCATGAATTTTCAACCTTAACTCTCATTGGAGGCACAAAACTGACAGCTATGGCAATACAAAATGGTAATTGTAGCTAACACTTGTACAAGTTTAAGAATTATTAATATATTCTTTTACACTCCAGCCTCTCACCAAGGTAGAGTAACCCAGCAATAAAGAAAACATTTTCTTTGTAACTCAATCACTGTCCTGTCAGAGCCATGCTGAAATTACAGCCCCTACCACTAAAAATCCTTTATTACCCCCTCCCTCCAACCTTTCTTAGAATGACCCCTACTCCTCTTCTCTTCCACTTCAGATTCATATGCCTTCCTTGTCGTCCTATTTTTCTCCAGCCTCTCTGAATGTCCAAACCATGTCAACAACCTTTCCTCAGCCCTCTGAATAATACTGTTGGTAACAGCATTATATTTTAATTTTTTAGTGTACATTAAATATATTGAAGTTATATTTTATATTTTGAAGACATTTTGAATTTGTGAAAGTTGTTTAAAGAAATTTCCTAGAATTTAAGTCTTGGAGTAATTTGATCCTTTAAGGTTTTGAGCAGAAATTTCATATAATTTTTTTTTTACTTTATCACTTATTTGGAGAAACAAATTTCGCATCAAATATTTTTAATGTAGCATTTGGTTTAAATAGAGAGAGAAAGAACATGATCAAGCTCTTACAAAGTTCTGTCTGCTGAGGTCTTTTAGTAGACAAAACTGTCTCCTAAAAGACTTTTGGGCTCTATCATATCTGCTATTGAAACAGTATATACTGTACTGTACATATTGGAGTACTATACCTGCAGTGAGAGGTCAGCAGTAGAAGCAGGCAGGAAGAACAGGAGAGAGTAAATAAGTTTGTTCCATGTTTATATCATACTTACAAGTGCATGCAACATCTTAGTGACAGTGCCACATGTTTAGTTTTTGGGTTTTAACTCTATGAAAAATTAGCATTGGAGGGGTAGGGGTTGTCCTAGTAAAGGATGGAGGAAGGGGGTGAAAGAGGTTTTGTATGCAAGTGGCTTGGGCATATAGCAGGCATGTGTGAGCATGTTAGATAGGAGTGAGTGGAGACGAATGGTTTTTGGGACTTGACAAGCTGTTGGAGTATGAGGAGGGTAATATTTTGTGAAGGGATTCAGGGAAACTGGTTAGCCAGATCTGAGTTCTGAAGGTGGGAAGTACAATGCCTACACTTTAAAGGTTTGGGATATTTTCTGTTTCAGGTGACATCTAAACTGTCGTATCTGCATGCCTCTGCAAAGACAGTGATAGTGTGAATGATGGTGAAAGTGCTTTTTTTTGGGGGGGGGGCTCACCCTGCCTTGGTGGGAGACATCCAGCATGTTGAAAAAAAAAATGAAAATTATTAGTCATTTACTTTAATTAAGCAACAAGCTCTTTAAAAAAAAATGATATCCTAAATTCCATTCACCACATTCAGTCTTCTCTCTTTCTGTATGTAAGCTATAGTGTAATTGTATAATAAAAAATTGCATTCTTTCTTACAGGTGCTACTTTGGTTGTAGGAACCCCAGGTATATTGTTGAAGGCTCTGAGTGGCCAGGACAATATGTGTCTTCCAATTTGTAACCTAAAAATTCTCATTCTTGATGAAGCTGACAGTCTACTGGATAATGAATCAAATACTCAGTACTTACGCAAGATTTGTTCTCTTCTTCCACAAGGTACTGGTGCATGTTATACTGTCAGTAAAAGGATATGCCTTTTTTTATACCACTCTTTCAGTCTTGAATGATAACATCCCTTTTGCACTTTTGTTCTAACTTGATCTCTCATAGATATTTCAATAGTGATTTTCTGAGGAATGGTTTGTGTGAGATATCCTAGAAAAAACTGCACAATTATTACCTCCAGCTACTGCAGTACTTTCAGTAACTCACTTGAAGATCTGATCTTTCCAGACTTTCTTTGTCACCTTAAATTCTTCAAGTGTTGTAGGTAAAGGATATGTATGTACTGATCAAGACATTTATTAAGGAAATATTTGGGCATGAGTGGCTTTTTCAGTCTGTGTCTTTCAGTTACAACTTGTTGGTATCACCATATTAAGTCCAAAAAGTTACTCTGTCTGACTTTTTTGGGTTATCCTAGGTTCTTTACACATATGCTGCTATGTATGATAATCTATGTAACTGTATTTGTGTATACCTGAATAAACTTACTAGGTATTGTATATAAACCATTTCTATAAAAATAAATTTGTCATGGGTGTGGAGTCACCAGTTTGTACTGTGTGGCAAACATATTCATGGAATTTTTAGCAGTTATTCAAAAACATGAAACTAACTTTTTTAGAAATTAATATGGTACTTTTTTCAGATGAAGTACAGAAGGTTCTTGTGAGTGCAACTGTAACACCAACGTGTATGAAACTTGCAAAAGAAGTATTAAAAACAGACTTTTTCTATGTAACTGCTGAAAAAAATGCTTCACCTACAACTGCCCAAGTGAAACAAAGTAAGAAAATACAGTATACAGTTTGGTACAGGGTAACTTGGCAAGATATGCAGTCAAGTTCAGTCAAGGAAAAGGTTATTTAAAGAATGTTTTGTAGACAGGTTTCATGTTAATTGCTTCATTGTGAGCCTCTTTTGTTTATAGCATGTCATGTAAATTAGATTACTTGCTTATGGACAAGTTGTGTTCTTGCTCTTTAAACTTTTTAAACTCAAAATTTATTTTCTTATAGAAGACAGTAGTATAAAGGATAGGTGATAATAATAAATAATTCACACAAGTTTGCAACTGTAAATTGGCATCCATAATACTTCAATTGTGGATGTCTGCAATGCAGGTATTTGTGTGATAATTGAGTCTTGTATTCTTACCAAAGAATGGCTGATTAAAAAGTATTAAGTTACATTAAGTAGATTAATGTTATTTGGTCATATTATTGATGAAATTCTGCTTGTCACCAAATGGTAAAGTTTTTTTTTATAATTGCATTACATGTAATAGAGTTGAAGCAGAATGCTTTTAGGGCAGACTGCAAGGCAGGATCATTTTTCACTCCCCCCAACCAAAAAAAAAAAAAAATTTGAACTATTGCTATGCTGTTTAAAAATGTATACATGTATTTTTTTGTGAGTCAAGGATCATCTTCACCTTATGAAATAACTTTACATTTTCAGGTTATGTTTTAGTGAATGCCAGTGATAGACTTCCAATGCTTACAACTATATTGCAGACATTAAGAAAGAAGAAAGTTATTATTTTCCTCAATTCATGTGATTCTGTCAGATTTCATCATAAAGTTTTGTCCCATCTTCAGCTGCCTGTTCTCTACTGTGTGGTAAGTTAACTCCTTCAGACTGTTAGCATGTTTATGGTTACACAGAATAATGTAATTTGCACCTTTACCCTTGATCTTGGGTCGTCCTATTTTAAGTGATTATTATAAAAAAATTGCTCAGAATTTGCTAGACAAGAGTTCATAAAACACTAAGACTCGTTCAGTCTTTGTAGATTTTTGTTTTGCTTGTGATGTATCCATTACAAAATTTGGGAAGACCCACTACAGGTGAGGTCTACACTCTTGTCAGTGTGAGATTCTTCCTCCATACCTAAGTGAGGTCAACTTTTAAAGTGAAAATCTTATTTCATCAAAATTTGAATAAAATACTGATAGTAATGCACTGATGTAGGTAGTAGGTTGGTAGACGGCAACCATCCAGGGAGGTACTACTACCGTCCTGCCAAGTGAGTGTAAAATGGAAGCCTGTAATTGTTTTACACGATGGTAGGATTGCTGGTGTCTCTTTTTTTTCTGTCTCATACACATGCAAGATTTCAGGTACGTCTTGCTACTTCTACTTACACTTAGGTCACACTACGCATACATGTACAAGCATATAGTATATACACACCCCTCTGGGTTTTCTTCTATTTTCTTTCTAGTTCTTGTTTATTTCCTCTTACCTCCATGGGGAAGTGGAACAGAATTCTTCCTCTGTAAGCCATGCATGTTGTAAGAGGCAACTTAAATGCCAGGAGCAAGGGGCTAGTAACCTCTTCTCCTGTATATATTACTAAATGTAAAAGGAGAAACTTTTGTTTTTTTCCTTTTGGGCCACCCTGCTTTGGTGGGATATAGCCAGTGTGCTGAAAGAAGTAATGCACTGAATGTGAAAAAATCGGCAGTAATAGATTACTTTTAATTCAGTTTGAATTAAATTTCATTGCCGTTTGTTAACATCAACCAGGAGGAACCATTGAAATTTAGATTTATTTTCAAATAAAAATGCCTATAAAAATAGATTGGGTATTTTGCCTGAGAACATTTTTTTTTTTTTTATTACCATCCATGTTCCATGAAGATGGGGTTACCTAAAGAAGTAAACATAGCCCTTCACTGATTCAGTAGCTGACTTGGCAGAAGTGCACAGACATCACAACTCAAATAACCTTCCAAATTTCCATAGAAAATAAATATTAGATGTGTTATTCAATATAAGAGTTGCACAAGAATGCATATACCTGACACTGAAGTCCATAGTTAAAAAGACCCTCCTGTCATCAACAGGGTAAAGAGAAACAGACTCGTCGCAGTAGCATGTACATGAAGTTTTTGGAACTGAAGCAAGGGATTCTCTTGACAACAGGAATGGCAGAGAGGGGATGGGACATTCCTGGCATACATTGGATAATTCAATATGATCCTCCACATAAGCCTGAGGTACAGTATGATGTGTTTTTCACTGCTTGCATATTCAAACATCATCTAAAGTTTCTTCTCCAAATTTTGGGTTGGTTGTAAATTATTCCAGCTACAGTATTGTGACTTTTATTATTCTTAGTGTATGTTGCTTGTTTAAAATGAATGTTCCCTATCACAGAAATATATTCATCGTATTGGTCGCACCGGTCGAGGGGAGGGTCGAGTTGGTCGGGCTCTTCTATTCTTGAGACCTGAAGAGAACAAATTTATTGAAGTCTTGAAGAATATGGAGGTACAAATTGAACAGCTGGAGTTCCTTGGAGATTTGAAGGAAATTCAAAAGAAGGTTAGATGAATGTGTGTAATTATGATTTCCTAGAAGTGGCTCACTTTGGTATCATTATGATTGTAAACACATTGATATTTACATCTGTTATTGTTTATCATTCAACCCCCTTCCTCCCCCCAGACTCTGGGTCACTTAATGGGATACAGGCAGGATGGCAGTGCAGTAACACGGAAAGAAGCGCTAATCAGGGAAGTGGAAAATATTGAGCTAAAGCTAAAGGACTCATACAGGATCCAGGAGAGACAAGAGGAGCTAAAAGCAATTAGTGAAATTGAAAGAAATTTGAAATATTTCTTTTCATATGCCAAAAACAAGGCAAAAACCACTTCCAGTATAGGGCCCCTGCTCAGACTAGACAGATCCTACACAGATGACAAAGAAATGAGTGAGATACTGAAATCTCAATATGACTGTATTCAGTGAACCACTAATCAGTCTAACCATAGACAATGCAAACAATTTTTTCATGAATGAGCCTCAAAACCTTGCCAATGTATGCCAAATTTCTGACATAACCCTAACTTCACCAGACTTTGAGAATGCCATCGACGACATGCCCATGCACTCAGCCCCAGGCCCAGACTCGTGGAACTCTGTGTTCATTAAGAACTGCAAGAAATCCCTCTCACAGGCCGAAAGTATGCTATGGAGAAAGAGCATAGATGCAGGTGAAATTCCAGAGTCACTGAAAACAACAGATGTAGCCCCACTCCATAAAGGGGGCAGCAAAGCAATAGCTAAGAACTATAGACCAATAGCTTTAATGTCCCACATCATAAAAATCTTTGAAAGATTTCTAAGAAGCAAGATTGTAAACCACTTAGGTTCCCAAAAGTAGCACAATCTAGGGCAACATGGTTTCAGAGCAGGTTGCTCTTGCCTCTCACAACTATTGGACCACTATGATATGGTCTTAGATGCACTGGGAAACAAACAGAATGCGGATGTAGTATACACAGATTTTGCAAAAGCCTTTTACAAGTGCGATCGTGGTGTAATATCACAAAATGCATATTAAAGGGATAACTGGCAAAGTAGGAAGATGGATCTTCAACTTTCCAACCAATCAAACACAAAGAGTAGTGGTAAACAGAGTTAAATTGGAAGCTGCCATAGTGAAGAGCTCTGTTCCACAAGACACAGTACTCGCCCCTATCCTGTTTCTCATTCTCATATCAGACATAGAGATGTAAACCATAGCACTGTATCATCCTTTGCAGACTATACTAGGATCTGCATGAGAGTGTCATCCATTGAGGACACGGCAACTCTCCAAGAAGATATAAACCAAGTTTTCCAATGGGCAGCAGAGAACAATATGATGCTCGTTATGGAAAACTGGAGGAAATAATAGCTAGGATTGAGTATACTACAATCTCAAATCACACAATAGAGCGGAAAAGCAATGTGAAGGACCCGGGAGTGGTAATGTCCGAAGATCTCACCTTCAAGGATCACAACAATGCCACTATCACATCTGCGAGGAAACTGATAGGATGGATAAAGAGAACATTCAGGACGAGATGCCAAGCCAATGATGATCCTTTTTAAATCACTTGTTCTCTCTAGGCTGGAATACTGCTGTTCATTAACATCCATTCAAGGCAGGTGAAATTGCAATCTAGAGAATGTACAGAGAACCTTTACTGCACGTATAAGTTCCATCAAACACCTTAACTACTGGGAATGCCTGGATGCGCTTGACTTGTACTCACTGGAGTGCAGGTGAGAGAGATATATCATAATCTACACCTGGAAGATTCTGGAGGGACTGGTCCCAAACTTGCACACAAAAATCACTCCCTACGAAAGCAAAAGACTTGGCAGGCGATGTAACATACCCCAAGTGAAAATCAGGGGTGCCACTGGTATACTAAGAGAAAACACAGTAAGTGTCTGGGGCCCAAGACTGTTCAACAGCCTCCCACCAGCCATTAGGGGAATTACCAATAGACCCCTGGTTGTCTTCAAGAGGGAGCTGGACAGATACCTAAGTCAGTGCCAGATCAACCGGGCTGTGGTTTGTATGTTAGACTATGTGCGGCCAGCAGTAACAGCCTCGTTGATCAGGCCCTGATCCACCAGGAGGCCTGGTCGTAGACTGGGCCGCGGGGTCATTGATCCCTGGAATGCCCTCCAGGTAGGTGGGGTTTGTGGTTTGTGCCTAGGGTAGTGTATTCTAACTTTTCTGTAATTCAGACCTACACACACACATTATTTTGAATAATAAAAAAAAATCACTTAATATCCAAGGAAGAAGCTGAGGCTTGAAAGAACTCTATTTTAGCAAGTGACAACTATATGGTAGGTTTAGTAAAACAAATGGTTCCATAGAAATAGTATTCTGTTTTTTTTTCTTTTTTTTTTTTTTTTTTTTTTTCAACAAGTCGGTCGTCTCCCACCGAGGCAGGGTGACCCAAAAAAAAGAAAGAAAATCCCCAAAAAGAAAATACTTTCATCATCATTCAACACTTTCACCACACTCGCACATTATCACTGCTTTTGCAGAGGTGCTCAGAATATAACAGTTTAGAATATCAAGGGAGTACACAACATATCCCTCAAACTGCAATACAAACCCCTCCTTTAAAGTGCAGGCATTGTACTTCCCATTTCCAGGACTCAAGTCCGACTATATGTTTATCCTTACCTTATATGATGTTTTATTTAGCATATTTTTTATGGTGTTAATAGTATTTTCAGATTGCAGGTTTAATAAATAAAGTTTTGATGTGGTAAAAAATATACAAGCAAAAATTTAATTTTTATTATTTTTTCAGATTGATTCCCTTGTTTTGAATGATGCATTAATCCGGCTGAGAGCGAAGTTAGCATTCAAGAAGTTTGTAAGAGCATATCAGTGCCATACACTAAGAGATATATTTAGTATTCAATCACTGAATCTTCATGAAGTGTGCAGGGCATTTGGCTTTACAAAGCCACCAGTGGAATTAGGCCAGTTAACTTAATGGCTCTACCACATTGTTAGTTTTATTTATGTACTCTTACATAATTGTGATATTTCGTGATACATTACACAAGATTATTTATTCATTACCGTTTATTCATATAACTAAATTTCATATACTTCAATATTTTATCTTCATGAATTTGCAGGGCATTGGAGTGCTTTAACCAAGAGCCCCATTGGATTAGGCCAGTAACTAATGGCTGCTACACAGTAGTATTTATGTTACCTTCAAATCTTGATATGTCATATACATCTACACAAACTTCTTTATGATAACGTTTATTCATATATAAAATTCCATAACTGTAAATAATTTATTATTACATATCATTGGGAGGGATACAAACCCATAGAGGTCATAATATTTGAGAGAATGGTACACTTTGGGCAGCCCAAGGAATGAGTAAGTCCATTTTGCAGTCCCTTTGTAAGCATCATAGAACCTTCTGAAATGGAAATCTTAAACTTCCTATGGTAGAAAATTGTCTAAGGTAACGAATAAATACATACTGAGCAATACACAACCTTACGGGGGACATGTAATTGCAATTTTGGCTTCAATTGCACCAACGAAAAGGCCACAATAAAGAATGAGGTAAAGGGACATAGGAAAAATAAATCATAAAAAAACACTATTACCACCCAGCCCACCACCGCCACCTCTTCCCTCCTCACCCCCCTTCTTTCTCCACCCTCTCGTATACTGGTTTTCTTTCCTTGCCTCTCTGCGACTTGTCAGTTGTACAATTCAGACCGAAATGTCATTACTTTCCCTGTCCTAAGTGCAGGTTATATGTGTATAGAGTGTATAGGTGTTTATGCAGGGCAACCCAATGAGTGCAGCCCTTCAGGATCAAGTGCAGCAGCTGCAACCCGAGAGTAAGAAGCCCCAATCAGCCAGCTCAAGGAGTCCATCTTTGGGGTATTTACATGCATATATGTTTATGGAATATTTAAATAATACATGGAAATACATCATACAGACTTTATTTATATACAAATATAATCATGAACATTGTGTTAAAAATAAGTTTGAAATACAGTAATGTAATTCTAAATGTTACTTAAATATTTAATACCATACTTTATTTAATTCTTTTGCAATATCCAACATAAATTGGGCAACACAGAAATTTAATTACAGTGATTATGTGTGAATGATGGTGAAAGTGTTTTTCTTTTTTGGGTCACCCTGCCTTGGTGGGAGATGGCCATCATGTGGAAAAGAAAAAAAAAAAAGATTTAGATATACTTAGCCATAATAGTGACACTCCCATACTGGAGGTGGGAGGTACAGTGCCTGCACTCTGGAGGAGGAGTTTGGGATATTTGTTGTTTGGAAGGACATCTAACCAGTTGTATCTGCACACCTCTGGCAAGACAGTGATAATGTGAATGATGGCAAAAGTGTTTCTTTTTTGAGTCACCCTGCCTCAATGGGAGACAGCCAGTGTGTTAAAAAATATACATACATATAGTACTGTATATGTATGTATGTCTATGTATATATACAGTATATCTATTTGTATTTTTTTTTTCTCAATAAGTCAGCCGTCTCCCACCGAGGCAGGGTGACCCAAAAAGAAAGAAAATCCCCAAAAAGAAAATACTTTCATCATTCAACTCTTTCACCTCACTCACACATAATCACTGTTTTTGTAGAGGTGCTCAGAACACAACAGCTTAGAAGCATATACAGTGGAACCTCAAATATCGAACTTTTTTCGGTCCAGAAGGCTGTTCGAGTGCCTTTACCGAATGAATTTATTCCTATCAGGAATAATGTAAATTAGATTAGTCCATTTCAGACCCTCAAAAATACACTTATAAAAGCACTTACAAAAATACACTTACATAATTGGTTGTGTTGGGAGCAGTTCGATTTTTGAGGTTCCACTGTGTGTGTGTAAAGATACATGTACACAACATATCCCTCCAAACTGCTAATATCCCAAAACCCTTCTTTAGAGTGCAGGCATTGTACTTCCCATTTTCAGGACTCAAGTCCGGCTATATAAAAATAACCAGTTTCCCTGAATCCCTTCACAAAATATTACCTTGCTCATACTCCAACATATCGTCAGGTCCCAAATACCATTCGTCTCCATTCACTCCTATCGAACACACTCACGCACGCCTGCTGGAAGTCCAAGTCCCTCGCCCACAAAACCTCCCTTACCCCTTCCTTCCAACCTTTTCGAGGACGACCCCTACCCCGCATTCCTTCCCCTACAGATTTAAATGCTCTCCATGTCATTCTACTTTGGTCCATTCTCTCTAAATGACCAAACCGCCTCAACAACCCCTCTTCAGCCCTCTAATACTTTTATTAACTCCACACCTTCTACTTGTATGTATATGTAAAGTATCTACAGTACTATCTTGTGGTACGATATGTGTACATGCAGCCTTTTTTTTCAATACCACAAGATGCTTTGAAAATAAAAGTTGATGTATCTGTGCCTGTTACTAACTCAAATATTTAATTGAGGGAAAGCTGTGCATTTTTTCAAAAACTTAAGCTAGTGTCAATGCATATTTGCTAAATACTGCACTTCTGCATATGCTAGCATTTTCTGTTGTACTGGCTCTGATCATTAAATGAAAGTGAATTGATCAAGGTTGCCTTTGAATATACATTCATAATTAATGTCAAACAAGTTTGAAGTAAATTTGTATATATGATATATACACAGCACCTCAGCAACTTGCATCCTGATGTAAGGGCTGTGTTTTTGCCATTGAACACAACTGCACTCATTGAATCAATGGATTAAGGTGCAATAGCTGCATTCAAAGCATACTATTTATGCAACACATTTGCTAAGGCTGTTGAAATATCTGAATGCAGCCAAACGCTATTAAGAATTTTGGAAATGTTTTAACATCCTTAACACTATCAGGAACCGCTGCAGGAATTATTTGTTTATTCATTTATTCAATGACAATAGTTATTTATCATATAACATTTGTATTTGACTTTACAGATTTTCAAGTAACGATGGGGTCATTGGAACGTAACCCATCATAAGTTGAGGAGCACCTACCTTTGTGTACTTCATGATTCTAACTTTGATTTTCAGTACTGTAAATTGGTTAACAACTGATATAGATAAAAGCTCATAAGATATAGTTTAGTTTAGTTTTATAATTGGGAATGTACTTAATTTGTAGGGGTCATATAGCACATGGGGAATGAGATACTACCATCAGGTTCAAAGGAAGGAGAGGATAGGCCCACATCAGTGAATCAAGGGCCCCTCACCAGCATCAAGGCACCTACCTCCCTTGACAGGATGCTTATAATTTAGCATATTAAAAAATCCAGTACTCATTTTCAACTAAATGCACACAGTATGTGTGGAAATATGAGACTTCCCGGTTCAGTCCAAGGAAGCAGTGCTGTATAACCCTGGTGGGTTTAGCACTTGGTTTTGATTACTATAATAATAATCAGTCCAAGGAAGGGCAGGTTCAATTCTATGGTTCAAGAACCCTTTACTAGCATCAATAAACCTCTCTTGAAGAGAGACTATAGTATAACAATGTACAGGACAGTATTTACAATACTAAATAGCAGTTTACATAGTTAAATCTAGCTGGACTTACACAGTATTACTTTGTATGCGTTCATAGTATGGTATTCTATGGAAATAATTACATTCACCAAAAAAGTACTATATTGTATCTGTACAGATTATTCTGCACTATTACAGTACTAATGTAGTTGGCAACTACATTAACTACAAAACTCACCGAGTTTTAACACATGGGTCGTTTGAATTGTGATGTCTGTGTTCTTCTGGCAAGATAGCTATTCAATAAATAATAATTAATGTTTTCTTGTTTGGGGGTCACCCTATCTTGATAGGAGATGGCCAGTGTGGTAAAAAAAAAAAAAAAGGTGAAGTTAATTTTTACTCAAAAATCAGTACAGTAGCTATAATATAATTCCCTTATAAATTTTCAGCTTGCTGGTTATTTTTTAAAAGTTTTGAAAATGTGTACATTTTACAGATTATACAAGGTGAATCTTCACTTCATATGGGCTTATTAAACAGTCTTGTAACTCACATTACAAAGTACTGTATAAACCATGATTACAATAAGACACTAAAAATTTCCTTTTCAACTTCAGTAGTAGAAAGTATAACTGGAACTGCTGTATATAGTTGAACCTGATATATTTTAACCATGGAACAAGTGTGAGGTGAAAGTGTTGAATGATGATGAAAGTATTTTCTTTTTGGGGGTTTTCTTTCTTTTTGGGTCAGCCTGCCTCGGTGGGAGACGGTCGACTTGTTAAAAAAAAAAAAAAAAAAAAAAAAAATTATCCGGAAGATCCCTGACAAGTATGTTTTCATTGTCATATGAATAATCTTGTATTTCTAGGATACACTAGAGAGAGATAAAACCTTAAACTGTCAAAGGTCTAAATTATACATGCCCTCAGTGCCAACAATTTTGAAGAAAATTAAAAAGTTATCTCTGAAGTTAAAAGTGTAATAAGAGTAAGTTAAATATGATTATTACTTATTGGGATATGAAGATTTGAATGTGACATTTGTGGTCATTTTATGACAACATGAGTGTTTGCCACATAAGATGTAGCTGCTACTTTAAATTATTTTACAAGTCTTTCCAGTGTCTAATTTTTTTTTTATGGATAGTATGCTTTACACCTATATCTATGTTTTCATATTATATTTATTGTTCAATCACACTAACCAAATGTAAACACTAAACACATGTAATCAAATGCAAATAGCATTTACTGGCTCCCACAATGACTTGCACACATGGTTTTTTTTTATACTGTGCACACCTAAGGCATAGACCTGTTTTCTCTGATGTAGTCCTTATCAGGCCAACTAGGAGCATTGTAGCAATCCTAGAATTTTGGTGTAAATTTATGTCAATGGCACTTTCCCAGTTGGCATAAATTTATGTCATCGGCAGCTTAATTAACCCTTTGACTGTTTTCGACGTATAAATACGTCTTACGAGCCAATGTTTCTGACGTATATATACTCAATAATTCTAGCGGCTTCAAATCAAGCGGGAGAAAGCTGGTAGGCCCACATGTGAGAGAATGGGTCTGTGTGGTCAGTGTGCACCACATAAAAAAAATCCTGCAGCACACATTGCGTAATGAGAAAAAAAAACTCTGATCGTTTTTTTGGAATAAAACGCCGACTTTGAGGTGTATTTTCGTATAGTATTTATCATTGTATTCGCGTTTTCATGGTCTTAGGTGATAAAATGGAAAACATATTACAGAAATAGAGATGATTTTCATTACTTTGACAATGAAAACAACCTTGAAACTGAGCTCAAAGTAGCGGAAATGTTCGATTTTTACCAATGTTCAGGAGTAAATAAAGCACACCACACGTCCAATACACATCAACTGGGGAGTCTAATATTCTTTCACTAGTGCACTGATATTATTTATACCATTTTTACAATAATCCAGTAGTCTGCATAACAGTAAATTTTGTATTTTTTTGTATGAATAAAAAATCAAAATAGAAAGCAATAATAATATAAGAGGGGCCTAGAGATATGACTAATGAACAGAGCATATGTTATTTTAGTGCCACGAATGTCTACCTTGTTTATTCTGGACCCTATTTTGAAATTGGCATCTTTTTTAGTTTGCATGAAATTGGCCAAATTGCCAATTTCTGACCACCATATTGGGTAGTCCAAATTAGTAAATGGGAGGTTTCTTGTACTCAGCTGATAGATAAAATGGAGTTCTAAAGAAATAGCTATGAGTTTGGTCAACTGGAACAATGGAATTGGCTGAAAATAGGGCTCAAAGTCGGCGAAATCGCCGATACGCATATGTCGCCGAGACCGCTAACTTCGCGGGAGCATAATTCCATGAGTTTTCGACCAAATTTCGAACTTTTGGTGTCATTACCATCGGGAAAAGATTCTCTATCATTTCATAAGAAAAAAAATTTTTTTTTTTTCAAAAATTGAGCGACATAGAATGACAGTTTCAGAGAGGGGCCTGAAACAGTCAAAGGGTTAAAGGCTAATAAGCTTAGTGAGGATTCAGATTTGCTGAAGGTTTATTTGGCTCAAACCTAAACACTTATCCTAATTCAGAGATTCTCAGAGATTCCAACTTTTTCCACAACATTAAGTAGATTCCAACTTTTTCCACAACATTAAGTTTTTCTTTTTTTTTAAGTGATAGCACAAAGATTTATTATAACACTAAAAATAAGAGATCATTTTTTTCAAAGATCTATCAACTTTTAATAATCTGAAACCCTAATAAAATAATTTCAATTTTTTGTACAGTCAAAATGTAGGTACAGTATGAGAGTTGTCTCAGCAGGCACATACTCGTACAATGTATTACAATACATACCAAGAATGAGTATATTTGTCATGCAGATAGGGATAACTACCATGTAGGGCAATTTATAGCAATTTAATACTACTTCAAATTTTAATTAATGTTGAAAGATTGATGTAAAACCAGCAAAAATATTTCTTTTCTAAAGGAAGGAACACACAAGGACTAAAATGTATTTAAATACCCTAGATCCTATAAGAAACAAGGTTTTATTATGGAAAATAGCAACCATTCGTATATAAGGAGACACAGACCTTTTACCTCTTTTCAGATGGAAAATACACAAATAACCCGAACATAGGAGAAAGAAGTTTATGACGGTGTTTCAATCCGACTTGGACTGAAACATCGTCTTAAGTTTATTTCTCCTATGTGAGGGTTGTTTGTGTATTGTTCCAGTTATGGTATTGTGCCTTTTGTTCTTCAGGTGAAAAATACTTAAATTCACATAATTTAAAAGTTCAACCAAGGTCTAGTGACTACACCAAACTGAGGACTGCCAGAATTACTTTGATGACTGGGAAGTTCAGGCAAGATCAAGCTGTAGATGGGTGATAATCTCCAAAGTTGAAGAGATATAATATTGTAAAAAAAAAAAGAAATTGTAAATATGCACATGTCATAACATGATATTCTTAATTTAGCCTTACTTAATAGTATGTTACCTAATATACCTTAACCTAACAAAGCCGAAGATTTTAAATTTAATTTTATAGTTGATATCATAATTAAAAATTTTGTAGATTGTTTACAAAAATAGATGGTTATCCTTATTTGACAAATGTGTGTTGCTGATTAATACTTAGACAATTTTTCCTCTATTAAACAAACAAACATACATATATATACAGTATCATATAAATACAACACGACTCTACTCTTGTAACCACAATTAGGCAAGTACAAAACCACACACCCCACCACACACACACATGTACATTACAAACAGGCCAAGTGTCTATCGACAAGTGCCTCTGACAACTGGTAAAACAAACACACACACACACACACACTAAATGTAAAAAATTTGTGAAAAATCCCACTCACTGAAGGAGCTTTATAGATTACATGGCACACCACATACATTCTGAGTCTATGTAAAACATTACAATCCCTTGATATAACAGACTTCTTAAACATGAAGCAAAATCTACTAGGCCAATCAATTCAGAAATAATCTTTGTCTGTTACTGTTACAATCGCAGCAACACAATCTCTTCTCTATTCACCACATTTGCCATTACTGGCCACTAGCTCTCCACTGCCCTGCCCATCAGTCCATTATATAGATGGTTAACCTCTAATACTAAATTAATTTTAAAAACTCTTACAAACTTTATATGAAAATCCTTACTTGTATAAATACTGATCAAGCACACAGCCCAAGAATTAAAGTAGGCATTGGAACATCTAATTTCTTGATGAATTTCTACTCTACAGAATTCCTTGTGAAAAAAAAGGAATGACATGATCAAAACTTGTGTAATAATCATATCCATTAAAATGTAGCAGCCATAAAATTTACTAATAATATTCACAAAAAATTGTGCCATGTATCAAAATATATGAAAATGAATACCAGGGTGAAATGTTTTAATACTTCAATACAAGTGATACTGCAGAACTACTGATGCATCTTCACAATATAGCAGTAATACAAGATAGTACTAAAACATTTCATGTAAATAAATTGTTCCTTGGTATACACTCTGAAAACAGTAAAATGATAGTCATTACTCCACACACATTCAGTACTGTATTCACAGTTACTAAAACATACAGTATATTATCATGCAACCGTGAACTCACTGGTTCATCCAGGTAAACTGACCATCACTAAAGAAAATATTACATGAAATTATTTTATTGCTTAAAAATTTGAAGTGTACATTATTTCAAGTTTACCAACCTATGTGTAATTTTTTTACACCACAATCTTTTATGTTTCAGCTTTACAGTACAATAAAATATGAGTAGCATTCAATTAAATGTATCTATGCAACTGTGTGGTCACTGGTATGTACAGTATGAAGCAACAGATTATACATACCACCTACAGGACCCCACGGTTCTTGACCCAAGTGGAGCAAAACATCCTCTGAATCTTTATGCAGAAGAGAACATACATGGCCTACACACTGCATATTTATCCAATAGCACCTACTGCTGCCACTTGTATTAACATCATTACTGCTGTCAGCTTCATCCGAGTTGCTGCTTACCTCAATGTTTTTTGCACAGATGGACAAATACTTAAAACTTCCACTATCTATTTCATCCTCAGATCTCTTGATACTGTTGGAGATTTCAGCAGGTTTACAAGCATTCATAGCTGATGCATTCCTCTCATGAATAGTAGATAAACTATCAACTTCAAAGACAACCCTTTTTACAGGATAATGAAGTTTATTGAGGGAAACAGACATAGAGTTTTGCTTGCAAAACCAATCATATTCACACACTCTTTGAAGAGTCCACCTACATTTAGGGTTTGTGTGAAGCATGGCACGAAGTACAACAGCTGCTTGAGGTGTCAAAGTATCCAAAGCATCTTCATGATGTAACTGAAGCCCAAATAATGCTGTGGTACCTCGACGTCCATTTCTTGTGTATTCGCTGAAAGGTACCTCCCCTATCAGTGTAAAATACAAAGAAGCACCTAAACTGAATACATCTACTTCTGGCCCATATTCATGCGATGCTGAAGTAAGCTCAGGTGCCATGTAAGAGACAGTTCCTGCACGAGTTCGGGCAGTAGTCAATGGAGAGGAAGGCTCCCATACTGCTGCTAAGCCTAAGTCAATTAATTTTGCAACTGGAGCCACCAATGTTTTCCCTGGCACAACCATGATGTTTTCTGGCTTTACATCTCTGTGCAATATGCCCTGGTTATGTAAGTGATGCAAACCAGCTGCCACTTGGGTAAAAATTATTGCAGCTAAAGGCTCAGCAAGACCAGTGCAATTTCTTTCAAAGTGCTGTGTTACTAAATCAGCAAGTGTAGTATCACCAAGATCTTCAAGGAACACATACAGACCAGAAGGTCCCCGCATCACTTCTAACAAAGCAACAACTGATGGGTGCGAAACCTTTGCCAGAAGGGCTGCTTCATTCTCTAAGGCTGCACGCCACTGTGTTTCTTCCACATGCTGACAATCTGTATGTTGCCCAGCTTCTCCTCCACACCCTATTCCTCCTACAGCCCATGGCTGGTGCTTCACTGCCACCTGGTAACCAACTACTCTGTGTGTAGCCCGTGACACCCATCCAAACTTTCCTCTTCCCAGCACCCCTCCCATGTGATAATGACCTACCAATACCATCTCAAATTCTCTTTACCACTCCAAAACACAAGGAGAAATTTGATTTTTTTTACCAATTATATGTACACAAGAAATAAAAGCAAAGGGGATATACAACCTTAATGATATTTTATGGCTTTACATGTATATGAGACAATACATACTAAGATTTAATGCATACAGTTCTAATTCTGTACAATATGTGCACAATCTTATATAAGTATACTCATATATATATACATATATATATATTTTACATGGTGTTAGTCTGCTAGTTCCTAATTACATTAACATTTTCTCACTATGGATACAACCATCTAATTTAAAACAAACATTTAAAAGTATGTCAATACAAATTTACCCTATGTACCAATGAATGTGTATGCTACAGTGTTGTTATATGCTAAAGTATAAATAACAGAAAATTCAAATCAAATACTTGTTTGACAATTACCAATTTAATTTTGAAGTTAGATGTATATGCTAAGAAATCCATGGCAGTAAAAGTCCATCACAATATTAGATGTAGGTTTCACAAACTAATGGGTTCTAATTACATTTAAAAACACAATACTGAAAGCTCTGAGCTTATGTATAACTTAAAACCTAAAGTTCATCATTCATTCACTCACCAGAGCTACCAATGAGGCCACATATACAATCAGTTACATTTGGAAAGACATCGTTCATATTTATTTTTATTTCTTAAGCAAAGTCATGACTAAGAGGAATATTAAATTATTGGCTAAATCTGCAGGTACTCTTGATCACTTCCTTAGTGTCAACACTAGGCTAAGGATTATCTCCGCTAAGTATCACAGCTAAATTCAAGACACTGCTGCAAGTCCTCAGGAATTACTGCGATTATATTCTTTAGCTTTATTTAATCTCATTATATGTACTAACTTTTTATAAAATGAAAGTCATTCTTGGAAATTATTTTTGTTCTCAAAAGTAAGTTTATTCAGGTAAATTTCTACAAGTACAACAGTATTTAAAGGGTGAAACAAAGTAGGCTTATTTCTTTTATAAATGATATACAGTTCAAATGTATATATATATATATATACGGCCGGTGTGTTGAAAGAAAGAATATATATATATATATACGTATATATACTGTATATACATATAGATACCAAAGAATATCTGATTAGTCTTTTTTTTTGAGAAGAAATATTAATACTGCACCAATTAACTACAACAAAAATAAGGCCTCCTTCCAATCCTTTATATGAAAAAGCCTTGAATATTTAAGGCAAACAGAGAAGTAACTTACAAGAACAATATATAACTTTATACAGTGTATGTCAAGATGTAACTAAATTAAAAGTAATGCAAGAAATCACTTTTGAAATGTTCTAGTCTATAAAATCTTGAAATAATCAAAATGTGTAGTGTGGATACCCCACATCTAGTGGGTCAGGGATTCCTGCCAACACAAATCTTTCTTCATATGTAGATTGAATGTATTCAGTAATCACACCTTCCAGTTGGCAAGGGACAGATATATCCCACAGGACAATGCAGAGCAAGTTGAGGGAACAAGTGAAAAATAGGGTAGCAGATGGTGGGACATCCAACTATGGCTTGAAAATGTTCATATCCAATGACACAATGCTGAAACGTGGTCGCTCAGTTATTACCAACTTGATCTGTGCGTTCAATTCCTGAAAAGTTTCAATAATTATGTATTGTAAACTACAACGGGTTCACATGTAACAAATTATAATAAGAAATTCAATTCGTTGGCTGGCTAACAAACTGAATATTTATTCAATGACACATGCTGAATACATTTGCTGTAGTTATGTACAATTATTCAGTAATTCTAAGCAAGGATTAAACTCAAAATGGTGAAAATATATACAAATTCATGTGGGGAGAAAGAGATAATGACAAGTATACTGTAGTAGATAATTGTAGTATGTATGTAGAATGAATATTAAGTACAAAAGTGTTATAATAATAATATAGTGAGTAAGTGTAAATAGTAATAATTAGAAGAGGATAAGGAATAGTTGTAGTAACAGCAATAGTAATAACAGTAGAGATAAGTGTAATAGTAGTAACAATAGTACAGAAAAGCATAATAGTAGTAATAGTAGAGATAAGTGTAATAGTAGTAATAATAGTAGAGAAGTGTAATAGTAATAGTGACAGCAGTAGTAATAATAGTAGTAGTAATAACAGTAATAATAATAAAAGTAGTGAAAGCAATAATAATAGTATTATTAATAGTATTAGTAGAGGAAGCACTAACCCTGTAGGGGTCATAGTGGCTGAGAAACGGGAGGCGATCAAGTTTAATCTAAGGGAGGATAGGGAAGATAGCTTCAATTCTTTGGACCAAAAGCCCTTCCTAAGCATAATTATCATCCCAATCATATAGTCAGCCTCAATTCCTTGGGCCAAAAGCCTATCATCCCAATCATATGATAGCTTCAATTTCTTGGACCAAAAACCAATCAACTCAATCAAACTGACAGCTTCAATTCCTTGGACCAAGAGCCCTTCCCCTGCGTAATTATCATCCCAATCATACAGAAAGCCTCAATTCCTTGGACCAAAATGCCCTTCCCTAGCATAATTATCATCCCAATCATACAGAATCACTTACACGTAGTGAAGGGTCACACATCACCTGGGAAATATTCACATCTGATCCAAGGATATGGAGAATAGCTCCATCTCCTTGACTCAAGAGCCCTTCACCACATATATTCACTGTTGGCCCTGGTGAGTACAAATTAAGAGTTACTCACCAGTGTGAGAGTTAAGAGTGAGGCTGAGTGTTGCCTGGGGACCACAACAATAACAATGTATCACCACCACCTGCAACTCTTGCCTGAGCTTGGCAACACAAACCGCTACATTCTCATTCATTGTGTTTTAACAACACAAACCGTAGTACTCTCAATAGGTTTTAACAACACAGTAACTGCACTCTTACTTGACGAGTTTTAAATACACAAAGAGCTGAATTCTCACTCAAATTGTAATAACACAAACCCCTTCACTTGCTCAGATTTTAACATCACAAACTGCTACATTCTCATTCATTATATTTTAACAACACAAAAAGCAATACTCTCAATAAGTTTTAACGACACTAACAACAATACTCTCACAAATTTCAACAACACAAATCGCTACACTCTCATAAGTCACTTTGTCAGACCTTTTTTTTTTTTTTTTGGGGGGGGGGGGGGGTTATCATAGGTAATTTGCACATGTTAGACTATGTATAATAATTATACTTATGTGTACCTGTACCTAAATAAACTTAATTGCTGACTAGTTGGTAAATAAGCTTATTCAGGTACAGGTACACATAAATGCAGTTAGATAAATTTTCATACATAGTAGCATATGTGTAGATTACATAGGATAACCCAAAAAAAAGAGCATAAGAAAGAAGGAACACTGCAACAGGCCTACTGGCCTTTACGAGGCAGGTCCAGTTCTCCCACCGGCTTAAACCAATGCCTTGACCTAATAAGGAGATACACGTCACTTAAGGAGCACGGCATCAGACCTAGTAGCACAAGCTAATCAGGTCCAACTGGAACTTATCACTTCCAGCTGCTTAGGTATGGAAAGAATTAAGAACTGGTTCCAGTCATAAAATAGAGCGAAAAGCTAACGTCAAAGACCTGGGAGTGATCATGTCGGAGGATCTCACCTTCAAGGACCATAACATTGTATCAATCGCATCTGCTAGAAAAATGACAGGATGGATAATGAGAACCTTCAAAACTAGGGAGGCCAAGCCCATGATGACACTCTTCAGGTCACTTGTTCTATCTAGGCTGGAATATTGCTGCACACTAACAGCACCTTTCAAGGCAGGTGAAATTGCTGACCTAGAAAATGTACAGAGAACCTTCACGGCGCGCATAACGGAGATAAAACACCTCAATTACTGGGAGCGCTTGAGGTTCCTAAACCTGTATTCCCTGGAACGCAGGAGGGAGAGATACATGATTATATACACCTGGAAAATCCTAGAGGGACTAGTACCGAACTTGCACACGAAAATCACTCACTTTGAAAGCAAAAGACTCGGCAGACGATGCACCATCCCCCCAATGAAAAGCAGGGGTGTCACTAGCACGCTAAGAGACAACACAATAAGTGTCAGGAGCCCAAGACTGTTCAACTGCCTCCCAGCATACATAAGGGGGATTACCAATAGACCCCTGGCTGTCTTCAAGCAGGCACTGGACAAGCACCTAAAGTCGGTACCTGACCAGCTGGGCTGTGGCTCGTACGTTGGATTGCCTGCAGCCAGCAGTAACAGCCTGGTTGATCAGGCTCTGATCTACCATGAGGCCTGGTCACAGACCAGGCCGCGGGGGCGTTGACCCCCCGGAACTCTCTCCAGGTAAACTCCAGGAACACTATATAAAAAAACTCAAGAGGGTCACCAAATAAGAAGTAAGGAACACGTAAAAGACCATGATATAATTACGTCAGTGGACCTTTCTTTTAAAGACCATAACAAGACAAAGATCACAACAGCCAGGAAGATGATGGGGTGGGTATTACCTGGAGTTTACCTGGAGAGAGTTCCGGGGGTCAACGCCCCCGCAGCCCGGTCTGTGACCAGGCCTCCTGGTGGATCAGAGCCTGATCAACCAGGCTGTTACTGCTGGCTGCACGCAAACCAACGTACGAGCCACAGCCCGGCTGATCAGGAACCGACTTTAGGTGCTTGTCCAGTGCCAGCTTGAAGACTGCCAGGGGTCTGTTGGTAATATTGAGAACTTTCAAAACAAGGAAAATAATGCCGATGGTGACACTCTTCAAATTGCTAGTGCTGTGGAAAATAATTTCCCAAAATTATATTGTATATTTTTTATAATGTAAATATACATGATTAATGCATTACTGTTGCTCTAAAGTGTATTTTGAAGAAGAGAGCCAACAAGGAACCTCTGTGCCTGCGCCGATGGGCAGAGGGGAGGTCGAGACGGGGCATCGGGAATCTCGCTGGGGATATATTCTCTATAAGGATTACAATGCTGAGTTTACAGAATTTGGTTATTGTGTGGTTTACATGTAGTAAAATAATAATTACAGAGTGTACCACTAGAACACCTAGCATGGCTATTCATTTCGGGCAGACTTATAGGCCTGGGAGAGTGAACTAGTTAACATGGAACCAGGAAATTGGCAGTTCTGATGGTCAAAACGTGATTAGTGGTTCCTTCACTCTTCATAATGAAGAGTGAAGGAACGTAATTTGCGGGACCACTATAACCAGGTGGTAAAATTAGTAAATAGTGAGGGATGCCTAGCGGGTACAATGGGGCATGCCATGACGAGTGTTCGGAGGGAAGATTACCCGACTATTTAATCGACGCTCATCGAGCTCAGTTCTTAATGGAGTGACCTCTAATGTGTGTAAAATTCACGAGATGTTAAGTCGTCTTGTGAATTGTAGTGGAATCAGTGATAGTAACACTAAGTTAAGGAATGGTTGAAGTGATGCAAGCCACCATTCCCTGAGTGAGTGAGCACATATTAACCTTGTGATCCTGGCCTTGGGGGTCGTGGAGGTTTTATGGAGTCACGGCTCCTAAACTGGAGCAAGCCAACGGATACCTCGTCCTGCTGGAATAAAAACCGTATTGGTGTAGCAGGACATTGAAATGAGATGGTAGATAGAGGAAATAAGGAACATCAACCACCCACAGTTAAGTAACCTTTCTAGTTATAGCAAACTGATACTGGCCAGTTAGGTATGTTATAATATGATAAGGTCGTGGGTGATCCAACTACATCAAGTGACCACCAGAGAAAATCTGTTAAGTGGTAGTCTCGTTATATTCACATGTAACCCCTCCCCACCTTTTCCTTCAGTCAGTTTAATATAATCCATACAGTCCACAACTAATTAGTAGCATCGTACTTGTGGGTGTTATCCACTTCTATACTGGTCTAGGATAGATATGGGTAAGATTTGTGTGGGTTATCGAAGGGGCCACTTGCAGCGCCCAGGGGTGGCTTAAGTTTCCTCACACACCTACACGGGGTGACTACTGTAAATAATATATGGTTGTCGCCTCCCAATGAGATCACAGGATGGATATGGGGTGCACAATAAACTAGCCAGTTCCGGATCAGCCGGGCTGTGGCTCGTACGTTGGTTTGCGTGCAGCCAGCAGCAACAGCCTGGTTGATCAGGCTCTGATCCACCAGGAGGCCTGGTCTCAGACCGGGCCGCGGGGGCGTTGACCCCCGGAACTCTCTCCAGGTAAACTCCAGGTAAACTCCAGCCACTTCGGTGGCAAAATCTAATCTAAATCAATGAGATTACTTGTATGAATGTAATGTTGAGGTTCATACAGGTAACCCCCTATAAATTTTCCATATCTGCCCGTTGGTCCTTCGAACCGGATGTAATCAGTGAAAATTACTTAATTGAATTAATTACTTAATAATTAAGTGACTGATTGAAGGAAGTGGGTATAGGGTACACAAATTTAATCGATTGTGTGGTGAATGATAATTAGCCAAATTAATTGCTAGCACATGTGTGGCTAGAATTTATACAAGAGTAAAGTGCAAGAATTACTCTTATAGAGCATCTACTTAAGTTGTATAATCGGTGATTAGTAATTCTAACCATGACTGGATCTGATGGAGTTAATGTGGCTAACAAATCCATGGATTTTAGAGTAATGAAAGCATCATTACAGGCTATTAAAGGCCATGTGACGAAGGAATACAGTAAGTTCTTGGATTTAATGAATCAAGAAACCGTGAACCCTAATGAATTAAAGTTATATTTAGATGCTTTAGGGAGTAGATTTGAGTGGTACAAATTGTGGATTATAGACTGTGAAAGAGATCTGCTGGAGAATTGTGCAGATGGAAAGGAAATGAATGCTTTAATTAACCAGTATTATGAACTGGAAGAAAAATTGTCCTGTACAATAAGGCTTTGAATAAATTAAAGGGTGTCAACCGGGCAACCAGGCAAAAGATGTGTTTACCAAAACCTCCAGATTACAGTCTGGAGGAGATCAGACTAGGTCGGCAAGAATTAATTGTTCAATTGCAGACCAGTCAACCAAACAATTTTTACGTAAAGCTTTTGATACAGTTGACCATGACTTGCTCCATATAAAATTGTCGCACTATGGTATAAGAGGGCACTCCCTCAACTACCTAAAGTCTTACCTCAGCAACAGAAGCCAATATGCGTACACAAACGGGGCAAACTCTTCAGCATAGCCAATTACAGTTGGTGTCCCACAGGGAAGTGTCCTAGGCCCTCTTCTCTTTCTCATATACATAAATGACCTACCAAATGCATCGCAACTACTCAAACCCACACTATTTGCAGATGACACTAAATACGTCTTCTCTCACCCGAGCTCAGTCACGCTAGCCAATACTGTATATACCGAATTACAGAAAATATCTACCTGGATGAGTACTAACAAACTTACTCTAAACATTGACAAAACCTACTTCATTCAGTTTGGTAACAGAGCTACAGACGTTCCTCTTAACATAATGATAAACGGATCACCTATCACAAAATTCACAGAGGGAAATTTCTTAGGAATCCACCTTGATAATAGACTCAAATTTCAAACACATATACATATACAAGACCGTAGGCATACTATCGAAGATACGGTACTATGTTCCACATCAGCCCTCCTGGCCCTATATCACTCACTTATTTACCCCTGTCTCACCTATGGAATTTGTGCATGGGGCTCAACAACAATAAACCATCTCAGACCATTAATTACCCAACAAAAGGCTGCAGTCAGAATAACAAATTCCCACTACAGGCAGCACACTTCATCAATATTCAAAACTCTAAACCTACTCACCATACAAAACATCCATACTTATTACTGCACCTACTACATACATAGAACACTTAACTCTGACATAAACCCTCCCCTCAAACGTCTCCTTACCAACCTCAACAGAACACATGACCATAACACAAGGCACAGATCACTCTTTGATGTTCCTCTAGCCCATCTCACGCTATGCAAAAACTCAATGCACATAAAAGGCCCTAAAATCTGGAATTCATTACCTGTGAATATAAAAGAAACACAGT